AAACACTTCTAGAGGGTGAAACGCTTGGCTGGTTTGGGCGGAAGTCGAGCCGGAATTTGGACTACCAACCTTGCGCGTGGTAAGCGAACCTCTCGCCACTGCATCACCTCCTTCCCACCCCTCATTACAAACTAGTTATCTATATTCCCTCGCTCTTTGACAATATTACAATGTGGCACATTAAGAAGAAGCTCACCTTCTGCATCAAGGTGACCTGTTCCGTGTCTTGTGCCAGCGACTGCATCACCTTGTGCTCAAGCGACAAGGAAATCTGAAACATTGATACAAGGAAATAATTCTGTGAAAAAGAGCATCCCAGCCAACGATTATTCGAGAAGTGAAAACATTCCACACCTTCACCGGGGAGCCTGAAGCTATGCTGAAGCTTGGGAAAAGCAAACTTCACTTTACTAACCTTCTTCTTATCCCTGTAGTCCCGAACAAGCGAATGCAGTGTGTCACAATCAGGTACCCATCCAATCAGACCAGAATTATGACTAAGTGCGACGATAGAATATCGCTGAAAATAAGCTGGCAGTACTTGAACGCCAACGCCATAGATAGGTTTCCTCCAACCGAAGAAAAGTGTCACAGCTCTCCACTAGAGCTTTCAACAAAACCATCAGCTTTGTTTCATATATGATCTGCGGCTCCCCAAAAACAGCTAGGATCATATGGAAAGAAGAATATATCGATAAAGGCAGAGTGAACCCCTGACTGACTTGTATTGTGAGGTTCCTTCGACACGTCTCAGCATTGTTCACCAGTAACGTATTGATAAGTCCGAACAACTGCATCACCGCTCATCCTGGCGCGGATCTTCATGACCTTTTAGCAAGAACGCATATTCCCGCCCATTACTGCCTGGAAAGAAGCTCACTTCTCTTTCCTTTTACATACACTGCTACTGGTATCTTACCTCGAATGGTCATTTTTCTTGGTCTCTGCTTGCTACTAATCACTTGAAGATGAGTGCCAATAGACGCTATTCCGACCACTGGTTGAGAAGGATCGTATGTTCCCGGTACGGCAAGCTCGAGGTCCTTAAACACTTCAGTTACTACGAACAAACTTCAGCAAACTTCGTGCCAATATTCCGACCCATTCGTCGTTTACAGAGGTCTAAACAAAGCTTTGTAGTTGCACCCTATCCCCCTGGTCATCTTGTCCCTTTCAAACAATGTCGAGTATTGCACTGAGCGCAGTAACCTTTTTCCTTTCTTACTGTAGTACCCTCCTTCGTACCTAATCAGAGAGGCACACACACCAGTGGGATTCGCGATTTTCCCGCCACTGTACCACGACCATCACACCGCGTTCGGATCTCACTCATAGGAGCTAGGCCTTTCATGGTGTCCATAGATTTGCCTTAAAGGTACGGTCGCGATAAAAAACCCAGGTGATTTCGCCAGATGTGCTGAAGAAATTCGGGGACGTTGGAAACGCATTCGTCAGGCCTCATGTAGCCTCAAACAACTGTAGAGGCAAAAGATCGCGCGCTGGGGCAATTCCCGTCGGCTGATTCCTAGTAATGAACCCTATGACTCTACAAGACACTGAATGCATCCACTCCATGATACTTGCCCGGGAGCATTACTTTTGGCTGGAAGGCCGACTTTGGAGGCGGAGTCTGGAGGCGGAGTCACTGGAAAAAGGGATGTACCACTGAAGCAACTTTGCGCCTTAATCCCTTTACCGTACAACTTTCCGCCGCGAAACTGGCACAGGGTTGTCCACTCCGGACCGCACTACCTTCCCACATAACCTCTTGCATTTTCATAGGTCATCGCGGACCGCTCCTTTAATCAGGGCTATCCGTCACATTCATGTTCAACATGGAAGAAGTTTCAGTGAAACAAGCCCGCTTCCAGACACAATGCCTTGATGGCAGTCTATAAGAACACAGAGAAACATTTCACAAACCTTAGCTCTCATCAACATCGGGCTGATATAGTTCAAATCCAATGATGTGAGCTGTCGCAGCTGAGCCGTGATTTTCTTGAACACCTGAAAACGAATGCAAAATAATCACAAGCTTAGGAGTAAGCTTCTCCAGGTAGCCCTTTGAGTAATTAACCTGGCAATATATTTCCCACGCTTGGGTAAGTTCTTTTACGTTCTCTGTGCGTTTGAAGGCCTGGCAGAACTTGTACGCATCCGAGAGCTCACAATAGTAGGTCTAAAAAATTATCATTTACGCCTTCAATAGTAGATCTAAAAATCACACCTCAGTGTCCCATCACCACAACATGAAATTTTCGACTTTTTGGGCCTGTTGGTTTGTAACCATCGACTCGTGCACTGTGCACACGCAAGGTGAAAGGATGTGGGAGATGCGAGCATGTGTCAGAGGGGGTGGTGAGCAAACCGTGACAAATCGCCCTGAAATCACAAGAATCCTCATGGTGAAGCATAGCGAACTACAGTTCCACCGCCTGCTGAGAAAAATCAGCATTGGCTGACGAAGAGAAAGGAAAAGGGAAAAGTAGAGGAAAATAGGAACTGATTTAGTTCCAGTTTGTTGTTGTTCTTGTTAGTTTGTTCACTCTGCATTAGTTTAGGCGAATTGGTTCCAGCATCCAGGTCTTCAATTGTGTTGATCTCTTCTGTTCTCACCTGGTTGAACGACTGCTCTTTCAGCGTGGTGGGTCCCTTCTCGATCATTTTGTGAACCGGCTCCAACGTCTCCATCATAGCCGCGGTGTTCTTCTCCTGGTAACACGAATGTTAAATTACAACTTTGAGGAGTATGTTAATTTCTTACAGCACTATATTGTCACAAACTCACTTGGAAGTATTGTCGACTAGCCTCGTCCAGTGCATCATGCCACTGCTCGTGCCACAGTATTGCGCACCTTACCAGTTCTTCGGAAACCATGCTCGCCTTAACGCCGAACTTTGTTATTTAGGAAACCATGAAGTTCAAATTTCAAATGATTCAGATAAAGGATAAAGGATAAAGTCTTCGCCGTTGATCAATCCCTTTGTGGGATGCGGCACGCATTCTACTTCCATTCAGAA